CTTAGAACACTGAGGAAACTGTTTTTTGGGTTTTCTTTTCTTTTGCTCCTTTGTTATTTTTATTTTTTTCAGCCGCAAAGAGATCGGCATATTTGACTTGATGGATCTCTCTCCACAGCACCTGATATGCTAATAAGAGCAAAAAATTTGCAAGAAAACTTTAGATGGATTTTATGAAGCAGCCAGAAGCCTGTGTGTCTGGGGCTTCTGGGGGGAACAATCTGTGAGTCATTTTAAAAAACAAACACACTCATAATCACAGTGCATGTTGTTACCATGGTAATTAGGCCTGTTGAGCTGGCTTGCTTATGTTCCTGCAGAGGGAAGAGGGGAAGAAAAACTGCAAACTCAGAACTTTGACTATTGGCTTGAACTTGCCTCCTGCAGGAGAGAGTTTAAGGGTTTCTTGGGAACACACTAGCGCAGTCATCCTGCCAGGGGAGTGAAGGGACTTGGGTATCCTGCTGTTGTTATTGAAGACAAGCTGCCCTTTTAGTGCTGGGGATTGTGGTTCACAGAGGAGAAAGGAACCAATTGGCACTCTCTGGGGAACAAAAGGAGAAATGGTTTCTTTAGCTAATATATAATTACAGGTAAGTCTCTAAGGTCAACCGGTGCAATGCTTGTGTGCTTGTGAACAGGACTCTAATGAACTGCTAAAAGGCACCGAATGCCGCTGGCATAACTTTATTGCAGATTTAAATGATCCACTGTGTATTACTCAGTTAGAGGCTGGTTTTATAATGAGACTCTTGTTTCTGATCTCATTCATAAGCAGACTTGATATCCTTTCTTTATCTATGGATGGGTTTGACTTCTTTATATTGACAACCATCTTACCAGGCAGGCCCATGGTCACCAAGAAGACCAGTGAGTTTATGAGAGTTCTGATAAATCTGCCATCACTCCAAGGGAAAATAAAATAAAAGTACACGTTTGATTGATGGACATGGGCCTGGGCTAGTGGAATTTTATAGGACTGATTCATTATGATTCCACTGAAGAATAAACAAAACCATTGAACTAAAGGTTTGGGGGCACACATGAAACTTTTTAAATTCACCTTCACAAGTCTGGGTATGTTCTCAAATGATTATAATGTATTGACTGAAACTGTCATTCTTTAGTGCATGCCCCAAGCCGATTTTAAAGCAGAGTTTAAAGCAGATTTTACTGAGAGTTAGAATAAAATTTCCTAATTCAAATGGATTGAAATAAAGTTAAGGTGTGATTAAATTTAGAGTTTATGCGTGCATGATTTGTGCCTGGCCTATGACATAATTAGTTCTAAAGTATAGATTTTATTTTTATTTTCATAGGTAGAAAGAAGGCATGTATTGCTTAAATTTCTTTCAAGTTTCGATTAATTAAATTACATTAATATATTACATTAATTACATTAACATTAATAAATGAAACTTAACTTGGGCCAGTAAGCTGGCTTGCTGGGTAGCACTTGCTACCAAACATGATGATCAGAGTTGGACCTCCCCCCTGGACCCATGTTGTGAAGGAGAAAACCCACTCTATAAGTTGTCCTGACTTCTATCATCACTCATGCTGTGATATGTGTGCCCGTACACACACACACACACACACACACACACACACACACACACAATTTTTTATCTAATAGTAAATAAAGCTTACCTTAATATTTTTCTGATCCTTAAAGTAATTCATGGTGATCATTGAAAATTTGGAAAATATTGAAAATTATAAAGAACAAAAGTAAGAATGATCCCATTTATTAATTTAGTTGTTGGTTGAGCCACATGTAGTAGAGACCTGAGGTGAGTGACCCAGGACTAGTAAGCTGTCTTCACTTCATGCATGGACCAGGCTCTTCTGGCATGTTGTCGCATCATTCTTGAGCATGCTTCCCTTGCTTCTATGGTCTAAGGCTTTAAGAGCCCAGCAGGAAGAAAGAAAGTAGACAGGCACGCATATTAGGTTTGCTGTCATCCATTGAACTTTGTCACTTGGCTGCACACCCAGCAGCAAGGAAGGCTGGGAGAAGTAGCTTCTCCTGATGTGTATGTGTACAGCTTAGAATTCTGCTAAAATCATGGAAGAGAAGGAAGCAGATTTTACAGCGTAACTAGCCATTTCTTTGACTTCCATCACCCCATAAAGCAGAAGTAGTATGCTGTTTGTATTTTGATGTATTTTCTTTCGGTTTCTTTTTAAAAATATATATCGGAAAGATATTATATGTAAGGCATATTAGAACATTGTATGCTTGCCCATAATATGCATGTGTGTTTATAGTATAAGTAGAATGTTATGGGGCTGGAGATGTAGCTCAGTGGTAGAGTGCATGCTTATAGTGCACAAGGCATTGGGTTTGATTTCTAGCACTACAAAAAAATGTTACATAGATGAATATTAGAAAATATACTAAAATATTATAGAATGTATACAGTAGAAGAATATGTATAGTGGTTTCTCTTTATCTTTAGGGTGGTGTTCTATGACCCCCAGTGGATCCCTAAAACTGCAGTTAGTGTCAAGCCCCATATGTATTATGTTTTCCTATACATTTATATCTATGATAAAGTTTAGTGTATAAATTAGGCACAGAAAGAGATGATCAACAATTATAACAAAACAGGACCACTGAAACAATGTACTGTCATAAAAGCTCTGTGTGTGTAGTCTTTCTTGAGTTATCTCATTCCTTCCCTTCTCTCCCCTTCTTGAGATGATAATAATGCCCGTAGGATAAGATGAAGAGAAATGAATGATGAAGGCATTGTGACAGAGTGTTAGCTACCACCTAAGGAGTACTTGACCGCAATACCTTGTGACAGGACTGCCGTCAAATGACTAAGAGGCACGTAGTATATACCCCGTGGATACTTTGGGCAAAGGGATGATTCTTGTCTTGAGCAGGGATGAAAGAATAAGTGTGAAACTTCATCACACTACCCACAATGGCACAATTGAAGACTTATGAGTTATTCATTCCTGGAATTTTCCATTTTCCATATATTAACATTTCAGACTGAAAGCAACTAAAACCCAGGAAAGCAAAATTTCAAATAATGCATGAAGGTAGATGTTGGGAAATTGGTTGAGGCTACACTGTACACCGTGTTGTGCATTTGTCTTTCATTTAAACTGTGTGGCATGCATTTTCCTCATCGTTTAAGTTTCTTGTATGTGGACTTGGGATGGAGCTCATTGGTTGAGTCCTTGTCTAGAACAAGCAATAACCACCCCTTTCCCCAAACAGAAAATTCTGGTAACCACTGTTCCTCCACCATATGGAGTTCTCTTTGCCTAAGAAGTTGCACTATTGATAAATGGGCTATTTCTAACACCCTGATAATAATTTTTGCCTAGAGTTTTTGTTATAATCAAGAGTAGAATCACTAAAATAGTGATTGAGGAGAAATTTGGTAAGCAGTACCCAGTGGCTTTCCAGAGAGGCATGCCAGCTTACTATCAGCAGCAATGTCTGAGCACTCTGGCTTCAGTGTGCCCTTGCTCAGGCTCATTTTGTGAGTGCCACTTTGTCCTCCCCAGGGTTCAATCTCTGAAAACAGGTTGTTTTTTTTTTTTGCCCTTGGCTTGTTTTCTTTGCCTTTGCTGTCATTAATCATGAGATAATGTTTTTTTTTTTCTTTTTAATAACTGTGGCTCATTTAAAAACATATGACCCCTTTAGCTCTCTGGGAATAACAGTTGATTGAGCTGAGACTGTAACATGAATGCTGGTCTCAAGCAGTGTAGGCTTTCTGGAGACACAGATGTTCTTTTGGGCAGAGGATCCAATGTGAATTTGACTTCCACCCTCAGTTGCAGTGTTCTTGATGTGAAGCATCTCTTTGTTCTGAGTCAGAATGAAGTTGGGATAGGAAAGTACTCCTTGGGGCTTCCGGGTGGGTGCTCTGTAGATTTCTAAGAGGAAGAATACTCTTCTTGGGAGTCACCTTCTCAGATATGAACCACAAAGGCACTAGGCATAATTAGACCAGCTCAGTTCAGATTCACAAGGGCATTGGTTGCAAAAAGGTTTCTTTGGACCTCTAAACAATCCGTGAAAGCGCACATGCTAGAGATCCTTTTATAACCATGGGCTTGTGCATACTGTCAGCATCGCTGTGGGTTCATATAAGTAACCGACCTGCTGTCAGGAAAACTCTATTTCTTTATGGTCATCCACCACCTCCGGCTCTTACAATCTTTCTGTTCCCTCTTCTGCAATGATCTCTGAGGCAGAAGTTTGGTATAGGTGTCTTATTCAGAAATAAGCACTCTGCAGCCTCTTGTTCTCTGCATGTTGGCCAGTTGTGGGTTTCTGTGTTAGTATCTGCTGTAGAAGGAAACTTACCTGGTGAGAGTTGAAAGATGTATTAATCTATAGGTATATTAATAAGTCATTAGGAGTCAGTTTAATTCTATATTTAGCAGAAAATTAGTGTTAGGGTCTCGGCTATGTCCTTTGACCTATCTAGCCTCAGGTTCCCAGGTCTGATATCAATGGACTCCATTTTATGAAGGGGACCTTAAAGTAAACTAGAAAGTGGTTGGTTACTCCCATAACATTCTGCCACTATTGTACCTATGGGCCTATCTTACCAGGCCAGTTGTTGTTGTAGCTCACAGGGTTCACAGCTGGGTAAGAACAATGATTTCTTTTCTCTTCTGGTAGCATGCATAGCACCATGAATGTCAGCCAGTAGAGATGAGGCTTTGAGGTCAGCACTAATTTCTCCTTGTATGTTCCTAGGTGACCTCTGTGTTTTCATGGGTTTGTTTGTGAACTTCACAAAGAAAAGGACTCCTATTTCAATACTACATATATTTCTTAAAAAGAAAAAAGAGTTCACAAATGTTCAAAGCTCTGAAATGCAAGCCCAGGATTTCCTGCCTTTTGATACTACCATGACTACCAACTCTGGTTGCAGAAACATTTGTTCGCTCACTCAGCCTTTATGAATTGTGCTAGTTCTCATTTTCTTAAAATATGTTTTCTTCTGTTGTCTTTACAGCTAGTGATCCGCCAGATCCACCAGTGAGCTTTGGACCTTGAAAACTGAAGAGGTAAGAATTTGGAAATATTTTCTTCTAAGATCATCTTGAATTTAACCAAAACTTCAAAAGGGAAAATTAGAATATCATGTAATCCTGTAAATGAGGGCATTTAAGTACGTGATTTTTTTTTTTTTACAGAAAACAAACATGTATAGAGTCTTTAACAGTATTGATATGGATTTGAAATTTAAAGAAATTTTCTTTAGTGTCAGTTAAAATTGGATTTTCACCCAGATTCCGCCCCCCCTTGTCTTCTGAAAAATTTGAGCTGGAGAACTTTTGAAGTTGTTGACTGAACAAATCACATCCATATGGTACCAAAAGAGATTAGTGGGTTAAAGACAGTAACATAACTTGTATAAGATATAGCCTTGGGGAATGAGATGAGAGAAGGGAAGCCCCGGCAGCAACCACAACAACAAAAGGTCAACCCGGTTCTGGTGCGCCTTCTTTTGGAAGACATTCAATTAACTTTTGAGATTAAAGCGTCTGAGCCTGGCTGTAGTCTCGAAAGGTCCCCATCATCCTGAGGTGGGTGACACTGTTTGCGTCTACTCGAGCTAAGGTGTACAACCTCTGCTAGCCAGTGACTTGGAATTTTCACCTCATTTTTAAATTCAACTTCATTGTGAAAATTTTTAAGCATATAGCAAAGCAGAGATAACAGTGTAATAAAAAAATTCCCGTGTCAGGGACTGGAGAGGTGACTCAGTGGTTAAGAGCACTGGTTGTTTTTGCAGAAGATCTGGTTTGAATCCCAGCACCCACATGGTGGCTAACAATCATCCGTAGCTCCAGTTCCAGGAGATTCAACACCATCTTCTGTCCTCTGCAGGCATTGTACGACATGTGTGCACTTACACACATGCAAGCATAACACTCATATGCATAAAATATAAATAAAGAAATAAAAATTTCCATGTCCTCATCGTCCAATTTCAGAAATTATCAATTAATTCATACAACTTTAATGGTCAAATGTAAGTATTTAATATACACCACAATTTGAGAAACTTGGTGTGGGTGTTTTCATTTTTTAACATTTTTGTTGTTGTTGTTTTTTGTTTTTTTGAGACAGGGTCTCCCTGTCCTGGAACTCACTATGTAGACCAGGCTGGCCTTTAACTCACAGAGATCCACCTGCCTCTGCCTCCTTAGTACTGGGATTAAAGGCGTGCGCCACCATGCCTGGCTCATTTTTAACTTTTTAATGTATGGGAAATATAAAGACCCAATACAAAACAAAAACTTTGCCCAATGTTCTAATCAATCTTTCTTTTTTATCATGAATGTTCCTTCAGCAATCTGCTTCCTTTGGAAAAAAGCTCTGAGAGAGCAGGCGTGGTTTTCAACTCAGCAATTTTGCCTCCAGCATGTAGCCAGCATGTCTGGCATTTGTTCTATATTTAATAAAACTGTTGAATGAATGAACAAAAGAATGAATACCAGATGCGGGAATGTGAAGAAGAAAGCCACACAGGCCACAGTGCTGGGGGAGTGACATGGGCGTGGTATGGGAGACTTCTGTGGGTAAGGTGTGAGCAGAGCCACAGTAAGCAGCGGGAGAGGACTGGCCTGGTGACCTTAAGGGAGGGAAGAGCATGAGCAGTAGTGGGGGGCCCTCAGTCTAAAAGGAGAGGAAATGCATTGCAGGAACAAAGAATCACACGAAGAAATATGCAGACCCCAAAAGGCATGGTGCATTCTGAAAACCTTTAAAGATTCTGAGTGGCCAGAGTAGAGTGTGTGGCCGACTAAAGAGGCTAGCTGAGTCTGGAGAGACTCTACGTTGTATGCAAGATTCAGACAGTATCTTCTGAGTGGGGAGGTGGAAAAGTGTATGCAATCAAGATTTTTTTCTTGGAAAAGATTCCACAGGCTGCAAGGCAAACAGGAAGGAGGCTTGGGGAAGTCTTGTGTCTGGGGATGATGGGTTGGATTGGGAGAACTGATGGGATTGATTAAAGTGAGTAAAGGAGTAAAGGAAACATCTAGAAGAACTCCAAGATTCCTCAGTGGGGAGATGAGCTGGGGAGCGATCACCAAGCCCCAAACGCAGGAAGAGAAGGAATTCAGATCCAAGGAGTGACCCCATCCACGTGGGTATGCCTGTAGGCTGTTTCTTGCTGGGCAGAGCAGCTGTTCTAGGTTGGGGCTGCCTGTTATCACCTACATCGAAGCATCAAGAATGCCGCCCAGACCAGTTACTCAGAAGATTTAGGGGAGAAGCTTCTATAGCTTCTTAAAGGCTCAAAGCTTCCCAGATGACTTGAAAGTACAGTCAGAGTTGAGAACCTCTAAGCTAGAGCTCATTTGAAGAGAGCAGTGTGTGTGTGTGTGTGTGTGTGTGTGTGTGTGTGTGTTTAAGACCATACAGAACTTCTGCTACTCTGTAATCAGATTCTTGGATTTAAGTGTCTGGTATCTTTCAGGTGAGGGCTGAGACATCTCTATCTTTCTTCAAATATTACTAATAATTCAAACTATTTTCTTTCTAGCTAATGTGTTTTGTCTGAAGCTTGTGTTGATTTCCTGCTAATAAGTAAGCAGAAATTTTTCAAGTTGACCCAAACAATTTCCCACTGGAGGAAGCCCCTGCATTCAGTAGGACAGTTCTTCAGGGTGCTTTTGCTAGTTCTAGCCCATGAAGGGCTGTGGCATCCACAGTGCTCGAGGACACACCGAGAGCTACTGTGCCTTTGCACATAACTTTAAAGAGGTTATTTGCCATTTTCTACTCTCACCTAAAAACATTTTTCTTCTGGACAAAATTATTGTTCTGGATGATGCTCAGCGGTCCCTTATGTAAATTGCCTCTGGGTGCACAAACTAAAGAAAGATAGTAAACAAAGTAGATAAGTTGTTTTGTACTCTCAGAGGGATTTTGAGTAGATTTGGGCTAGTATTAAACTGTTTTTTAAAAAAGTCTAAACAGAGAAGCAAATTAAACATTGGTAATAAATAAAACATTATGGTTTGAAGCATATGATTTGAAGGCATCATGCAAATTGCACAGCAGTAATGAGAGATGTATTAGTTCTCAATTGCTGCTGTTAACCAGTTGTTAGAAATTTAGTAGCTTAAAATGATACAAATGTATCTTACATTGTAAGGGCTGTGGGCTAGGGTGTGTAGGGGCTCAAGAGGAGAATCTCTTTCCTAGTCTTTATAGATTTTGGAAGCCCCTTCCTCAGTTTTCAGAGCCAGCAGCATTGGGTATCTGTGTGACTTTGTACCATTGTCACTTCACTGCCTGACTTTCAGCCAGAAAAGCTTCACATTGCACACATCTAGATAAACTAGAATAATCCCGTCATAAGGTCCTTTAATTTAATCATCTTCAGAGTCCTTTTATCCAGGTAAGGTTACATGTTCACAGGTTCCAAGGGATTAAGACATAGACATATTTGGGGGCTATTTTTCTACCTACTACAAAGTAAAGAGATTAATTGTTCCCGAGGGTAGAAATGCTTCACGTAGTATAAAGACAGGATCCTGTAACTGTTAATTATATCCAATGGAGAGAATTTAGGGTTTCAAAGTTAACGAGGCAAGTTCTTGTCTTGGCTCTGCAGTTTCCATTTGTAGGCTCAGGTACTGAAGCCTTTGGGGTTTTTTAGAGGATTTGGCAATGAAGCAACCAGACAGGTTAAAGTCCAGTGCCCCCACCCTTTTTGGCTAAACTGTGGTACTCTCTGGGTGGCCTCTGGAGAGGTTGCTGATTTTGGTGTTTCTCCAAGTCTGGAGAGCTTGTCTGCTGCTCACCCGTTCCAAGGATGTTGAATGGCACCAAAGAGTGTGAGAGTTTTATTGTGTGCTGCTATGTCTGCCTGTCATATTATCCATTATTTATTAGACTCTAAAATATGGAGATTGAGGCAGGAATAATATGATATTCAGAACCTGGAAGCTGTGGGGTTTATTATAGCCAGTCTGTAGGTGGGGCTCGATTTTCTCCATACCTAAGGTGGGTCATTCCTGCAAAGCAAGAAAACATTTCTTTCCAGTGGAGGGGGGGTGTTATGGGAGGATGTTAGTGGGGGTGGGGGTATAAAGATTATTAAGATTGTTTGAGATGTTCAGTATGAAATTTTAAAAGATCAATAAAAAAAGGAAAACATTTCTTGCCTTGCCAATGAAATGGCTCATTGGGTTATTTTTTTAATCCATCTTTAGAGTGGACTGTGAGCTGGAAAGTTTTGGTGAAATACTTAGTTTTTCAGCTATTTTTATAGCAAGTCTACATTCGGTCAACTTTAGAAACTCCAGCAACACAAATCTGATGTCCAAACCTATGACTAGCAGTAGAGCATCAAAATGTCCTGATTTTCTCATGAGTGCAGGGCTTCCTAGGACATAGGACTTTCTGAACTAAAACTGGAGAATCCTAAGCGTATCAGGATACTTCTCACCTTAGATGTCTGATTAAATGGCTGTAGTGGAAGTCACTGTCCTACTGATGATTGTTAGTACATAACTTTTAATTTAACTGAATAATGAGAATAACCCCCAGGGTTTGGGTTGAAAATGGTGGGAATCTGTAGTCTCTTTGGAAGAATCCTTATCTATACAGATAATTAGCCCTCTCTATTCATGAGTTCTGTATCTGCAGATTCAGATCCAACCACAGATAGAAAATATATTTAAAAAAAAAATTACTTCACGGAGTGAGGGATGTATCACAATGCTCGCCTAGCATGCAGGAAGCTCTAGGGTCAATCCCCAGCACTGCATAAACCAGATGTGGTGGCATGCACCTGTAATGGAAGCACTTGGTAAGTAGAGGCAAGAGGATCAGAGATTCAAGGTCATCTCCAACTATATAGTTCAAGGCCAGCCTGGGCTACATGAGATCCTATTTCAAAGAAATTAGCTGTATAGTGAACATCTACATACTTTTTCTGGTCATTTCATAAATGATACAGTACGACAATATTTATATAGCATTTACAATGTATCAGTTATTATGAGTAACTTAGAGGTTATTTAAAGATAAGATGTACTCTTAA